GTGGGTTTTTTTTGTTTTTTCCAGCAACTGTTACAATGGACACAGGTTGGTCATTTGCCATTTTTTGTTACTTATTTTCTTATAAAATGAAGGAGGGAGTTAAATTAAGTGGTATCTATGATTTGCAATCTATTTGTTGTTGTTTTTTGCAATCTATTTTTACTTTATTTATTTATTTAAAAAAAATCAAGGGTTACCAACTTTTTTCTTTTAAATACCAGGCCAACTTCCAAAAAATCAGTATCTTATACACAGCACTTAGCATAAAGCAACAAAATTGAAAACCAACAACAAAGATGCTCATATGTTTAGGAATTTTTAAATGTTTAATATAAAAATTTTAAACAAGTTATAAATTGTTTCTAAAACCCAAATAATTTATGAGTCATATAAAAGTCATGTATAAATTACAGAAAAAATATATATGGACGACAACAACAACAAAAATCTAGGTATCAGAACTTCATGGATGCTGCTAAAATACTACCAACAGTAAATTTTACATTTCTAGACGCTTACAGAAAATAGAATTGATAATGAATAAGTTAAACATTTAACTCAATGAGTTATGAAAAGAACACAAGCAAAGTGCTTTTAAAGTAAAAGGAAGTAAACATTAGTAACAAAGGTAAGCTGATTCTTTGAAGAAAAAAAAAGTATTTAAAAAAAGTTACAGGACTGACCAAGTAAAAGAGTAAAGGCATAAATAAAGTAAAGAGAAATGAAATAGGAGACACTGATACAGAATTAGACTTTAAAAACCTTGAGAAGATTTGAAGCAAATATAGCAAAAGACTAACATGTTAAGTGTACACATGGATATAATATTATATACAATTTTGAATGTTTTAAATATTTCACAACTATAGAAATTTCTATTCACAGGACATTGCTGGTATTTTATGCCTTGAAATTTAAAATTAACTTAGATGTGATTCTAATATACCTTAGAGAGAGGAAACAAATATGAACATGAGCCTCAGCACAGATGATGAACTTAGCATTAGGTGAGCAGATGTGAGGCTCACTATATGGTTTTTAGATTTCCTGTTTATATTTACTGCATCTTTCTATGGCAGGGGGAATTACTATGCTCTCTCAGACCTGTCCAAACTGGACTTCTCACCACACAGTGTTGGGTGAACGGGAGAAACTACCCAATTTACTGATGATAGGCTTAATTCATTCATTTATTATTTTTTTTGTTCAGCAGATATTTATTGTCTTCTAGGTACACATAATGCTGAATGCTATGCACACAGGACAAATTTCCAAGAGAGCTTAGTCTTGGAGTAACTTCTCATGGAATTTATAGTCTAGAGGTACAGATGATTATTTTATTAGGAAGCAGATCGTGAAGGACAGCTTTTGTTGATGCTGCTGTGCCTCCTGTGTCCTCAGTAGGATCAGAAACTAGCAGAAAGAATGGGCAGAAGCCACCAAAGGCTTAGCCAGAAATATTTTATGAACTGCCACTTTCCCTTAATAATATATCAAAACTAGTATTTATGGAGCATTTCCCATACCCAAAGCTCTGGGTTCATGTTTGTCTTTCTCATTTAATAGATGAGGACAATGAAACACAGAAGGAGTAAGTACTGTCCAAGGCCATACAAACACGAATTGGCAGTGTCAGGATATGAATTCAGGTCTGTCTAGCCCTAGCAGTATTGTCAGTCTTTATGTTTTCCTGCATCCAAACTACAGAGCTGTCCTGGACTTGAAAACAAAACAAGTGCTCAGTTATATCTGTTAACACTACTCAAGAAAAATTAAAAAAAATTTTTTTTCTTCATCAGGAAAGTAGTATGAAAAAGCTCAAAGACACAGCACTTAACTCTGCACAAAAATCTAATTGCTACGTGGAATACCTATTGACCCCACTCAGAATTACCAAAGCAACTATTCTACCTTCCAGAGACAGAAGTAGTCTTCCAGATTTTTGAGAACGAGAAAAGAAAGAAATCAATGTGTGAAGTCCAAAGGTGGGATTGGCTTGACTCCTGTAGGTCACACCTGATTTCTTTGAGTTGAGGCTCTGGTCAAATACCATACTCCTGCTTTGATCCTGTCTCCACTTCTTATTCTGTCCACTCTCTCTGATCTCTATTTCTCTCACACACCAAGATCCTGCAGCAAGGCCTCTGGACCCTTACACATACTCATTTCACTGCCTGAGAAGCTGTTCCCCTCCCACTTACCATGCAAAATTCAGAATTAATATCATTTCCCTACAGAAGTCTTCCCTGACCAAGCGGACTAGGTCAGGTCTCCCATCAAATGCATTCAGGACAATGTGTACTTAATTCCCTGTACAGCACTTTCATAACTGTCATTTAAAAAGCCCTTTTGGTAGCTATTTTCATTATGCCTGTCATCCCTATTAAACTACAAGTTTTATGACAGTGAGAATTGCATCATACTATTCATAGCTACCTCCCTGAGCTAATGGCAAGCATTCAATACACAGCTATCGAATGAAGGACGACTGAGAACACAAGTAGGGTATCTGAGAATTTAGGCTTTTTTCTAATGTGTCACAAATCTCTAATGTCAGCTTTCCTAGTCATTTAAACCCCAGTTGCTTAAATTTTTAAAAGTTTTCTATAGGGATAATCAAGTCCACTTGCATCTACCTCCTTTTCTACCTCTTACATGTAACAAAAAGGATGCTATGATAAAACATCAGTGGAGGCCTGAACATTACCCCCCAAAATGGCTATAAACCCTCAAAGCACTCAATGCTGAGGTACTTTATACTCTGGTCTTTATTACCTGTTTTTTTGTTTTGTTTTGTTTTTTTCTGGGGGGGAGGGAGGGAGGGCGGGAAAGGAGAGGCAGAGGGAGAGTGAGAGAAACTCTTAAGCAGACTCCAAGCCCAACGCAGAGCCCAACTCGGAGCTCAATCTCAGGACCCTGAGATCAGGACCTGAGCCGAAATCAAGAGTCCGATGCTTAATTGACGCACCCAGGCGCCCCATCTGTTCTTTTTTTTTTTTTTTTAAGATTTTATTTATTTATTTGAGACAGAGAGAATGAGAGACAGAGAGCATGAGAGGGAGGAGGGTCAGAGGGAGAAGCAGACTCCCCGCCGAGCAGGGAGCCCGACGCGGGACTCGATCCTGGGACTCCAGGATCATGACCTGAACCGAAGGCAGTCGCTTAACCAACTGAGCCACCCAGGTGCCCCCTGTTCTTATTTTTATAGTGGCCATTTATTCACTGGAAAATAAGAGGTTTTTTTTTTTATAAATTAATAAGAAAATAGCACTAATTACAATACCAGAGAATAATCTATGATTTTTTTTGCTTCAAATGAATTTCAAACTTGTCAAAAACACTTCCACAACTTCTTGTACAATCATCGTTACTCTAATAGTTCACTCTACTTCCAAAAAAATTTGCAACAGTCGATTATATGACACAGTATAATGAAAAAATAATTCTATAATTAAAGTAGGGACGATATTCTATTACAAAATAGTTAATTGGTTCCAAACATAGAATACCATTAGTTGGTGCCACTTTTAATTTTGTTTTAATTTATGGCTGAACGTGTCTTTTTAAGTTTATGGATAACACCTTGAATATTAACAGATGAAATAATTATTTCAATACTTAGTTGGAAAAAAATCTTACACTAGAAAGAAAATAAATAGGACTTTCTACTCAGATTGGCTACAGAGCTTTGAAACAGAACTCACGCTGACATCAGCTGTCACTTTTCATTTTTCCCTGCTCCCAGCGCTAAGATACCTGACCTGTATAAACTGGTAATGGGCCAATATATTTTCTTCAGGCTACAGAGTTAAGACTACTTGGAATCTTAACAATGCCATTAAGGTAGCTGATGCATTATACATGATGATGGACCAAGAGCAACCTTGCTTCAGTCCCAAGGGAAAGCAAAATCTACTTAATCCCCACAGAATTTTCTCCTGTAATGCAAAGAGAATCAAGTCATGAAATCTGAGACCTTCCTGAAACCACACTGATTACAAGATCACAGAGGAGCATATATTTGCATAAGCTACCAAGGGGAAAACGCACACACTGTCCAGCTCGTTGAAGAGATGCCAAACAGGGCGCCTGGGTGGCTCAGATGGTTGAGCGTCTGCCTTCGGCTCAGGTCATGATCCCAGGGTCCTGGGATCGAGTCCCGCATTGGGCTCTCTGCTCCTTGGGAGCCTGCTTCTCCCTCTGCCTCTCTCTCTCTCTGTCTCTCATGAATAAATAAATAAAATCTTTAAAAAAAAAAAAAAAAAGAGATGCCAAACAGATGACTAGCCGTGGCTAAAAAATAATGCCGGGACACATACCCAGAAGAACTATTACATGTGAGGAAGAAACAAACACTCTACCAATTTTTATGTGAGACCTGTGTAGCTCTTTTATTCTTCCTGTGTGTGTGTGTGTGTGTGTGTGTGTGTGGACACATGCTCGCACATTGCAGAAGACAGGGGGATGGGTACTTTGAAGCACCTTGGCAGAAATACAACCAAATATCTTCCAGTCTGTTGGCAGGATGATGATATGTTTTAGCTTAGTTACTCTTGAGCATAAAACCTCACATTTCTTCCAGATGCAAGTAAAAATACACATAGGCGTAAGATGGGCATAAGAATTGAAGCATGTGTCTACCATGTGCAAAACAGCTACATGTTTCAAACAGTTATAGCTTAGGAGTCATGGCAATTCCCTGTGCTGAACAATACTCAGTCCAGCCTTTATGAAGAACAAAGAAGGACTAAAAATAAACCCCAAGAGAAAATGGCTGAAAAAACAAGGCTTCCTGAGAAGGCATCTGGTTTTCCTTAGAATAACGGAAATTTTCTATTTAGAATAATCGAAACTCACCTCAACCAAATGATGGTATCTTTTCAATGTATGTCTTACTAAAACAAACTGCTAATGGAGATGTAACTACAAATGGTAAATTGGGGTGTTATGACTTAAATATGTGCATTCTGATTCCTCTGGTATTGTGATCGTTTCCACAGAGAAGGCAGACGATAGTGGATTAAAGCAGGAATTCTGGCACCAGAATGCATGGCTTCAAGTTCTCGGTCAAGTTAGTTAAACTTTCTGTGCCTCAGTTTCCTCGCTGCAAAATGAGGACAGCAATGGTACTACGGGAGGACCAAGCAACTTAGCATATGAGATGAGTACCCAGCACATAGTAAGTACCATCCCAGCATCTGCTGCTTCTCCAACTGCCACAAGTACTTCTACTCTTTCATTCCTCAGTCCAGTTACCAGTACTGATCCCATCAGGATATCACTAGGATTCAAAAAGGTATAGAATGTATGAAACAAGAGATCCCTGACGGTGAAATGAGCACTTAGGGGCTCATAATAATTAATTGGCAAAAATGCCAAATTTTGAAAATGATATATAACAGAAGCACAGCGAGTCATTTTATTTTTTTTTTAATTTTTTTTTAAAGATTTTATTTATTTATTTGACAGAGAGAGACATAGGTGAGAGCAGGAACACAAGCAGGGGGAGTAGGAGAGGGAGAAGCAGGCTTCCCACGGAGCAGGGAGCCCAATGTGGGACTCGATCCCAGGACCCTGGGATCATGACCTGAGCCGAAGGCAGACGCTTAACAACTGAGCCACCCAGACACCCTATTTTTTTTTTTTTTAATTCCGTTAAGGTGAGTGCAATTAGCTGGAAAGAATATGCCACCAATAGTTTTGAGAGAGCAAAACGAGTTTAGCTCTGTAAGGAGAATTGGTTAACTCTCCCAAGGAGCGAACATTCAACCACCGGCAGCAGTTACTCGCCACGAAGATTTAGCCCTACAGACAGCAATGAAAACAGACTTCATACAGGACAGCAATTCATGGTAATTACCAATCAACCAAGTCAGCTGACTAGGATTCCCATACACTTCCCATCAAATATATGGCTCTTCCAGCTACACTTTTGCTTATGATTTAAAATACTTTAAAATACTTACGTGTGGATATCATGGCTCTGGCAGTAACAGAGAAAATTAATGAGTCCTCATTCTGATATAATCCACTATTTAAAAATGGAAGTATTTAAAAATGAGCAGCAGCTCAAACCCACTGGACCAGAAAAACAAGGTTTCCTGGCTGGATCTCTTTGCAACTATAGAATCATCTCTATACCAGGAGATCCTAGAATTGAATCCCACTACATCCCCCATTACTCACTTCAATAATTTCTTATGAAATTACTGGAAGATTAACCTTACACACACACACACACACACACACACACATATATAAGTCTAGAACTCATTCTTGTAGAATCCTTACATCCTGAGGTTTTTTCAAAAAATTATTTATGTCAGCAGTTAGAGGCTAATGAAGTCATTAAATATAATAAAATTTAAAACCAGTTTAGCCACAGTTGGTTACCAAATATTCATGGATAAGGAAAATACATAGAACAAAAAAAAAATTTTTTTTTAAAGATTTTATTTATTTATTTGAGAGAGCGAGAATGAGAGAAAGAGAGAGCATGAGAGGGGGAGGGTCAGAGGGAGAAGCAGACTCCCTGCCAAGCAGGGAGCCCGATGTGGGACTCAATCCAGGGACTCCAGGATCATGACCTGAGCCGAAGGCAGTCGAGAACAAAAAATTTTTAAAAGCCATTCTGGTTTTACTACTAGTCAGACTGATGTTAACTCATAACTCATAACTCTGTCTCAGAGAATTGTCTCAGAGAATTCAGAAGAGATTTCTAGAAGTCATCTAATTTTAAAAATTGTGTATTTGTGGTGAACTTGGTTTTTATTAGTGTAAAAAGTTATCACGTCTGTAGATATGACATCTGAAAATGTTCCCTCTGGTGAAGAGAACCAGTGTGAGGTGACTGCATGCCCATCCCACAACCTGTAACACCTGTACCTGAAACTGTCCTTCATCCTGCACCTGAGGTTCTGCTCCAGAACGCAGGTGCAGTGGTGAGAGTCCTTAACCTAAATCTCCCACGCAGTCTAGCAAGAACAACAAAAATACACATTCTGACATATGGGTAATGGCATCTGCCAAACATACTACCATTGCTTCATTAAACTGTCATAATTTTAATCAACTCTATTTATATACACCCAATTTAAGAATCTCCCTAATAGACAAAATAGTGACCAAAACCCACTTTGGTTTATGGCAAATGCACTGTATCTCAATAAAACTGTTTAAAAAAAAAAAAATCCATATTACCATGGCAGCAGGAGCCACCCCCCACCCCCCACCCCCCGCCCAAAAGGACCAACTAAGGGTCTTTGATTGATAGTCTGCCCCTCAGCCATCCTTAAAATGCACATCACTGAGTTTACTTTACTAGATAAAGGCCTTCCCCATTTCCCCAGAGCCAGGGGAAATGCCTGAACCTTGGATTTGAAATTAAAGGCGATATAGCTAAGAGCTTACATGACAACTTCTACAAATAGATCCATTTAAAAAGAAATCCTCTCTAAAAGCATCTTCCCGACCATGTGACTTGATTACTGTCTAGGTAACTAAGTATTATTCCCTTATCCAAGAGGCTCTGAAAAAGCTACTGTAGTGAGAATTCAAGATAGAGAACATGTTCCTCAAATGTAAGGGAAAGTTGTCAGCGCATTATGGATGAGAAATGCTGTTGGTGAGTCCTCCTAAAAAAAAAAAAAAAAAGGAAAACTAGATTTTAAAAAGCTTCTGTATAGATTACTTGGCAACAGTGGCTGTTGCTTGCATTTCATGTCAAAGACAACCTCAAAATAAAGAGATTACCTAAAAGCTATTTGAAAACAAAAACAACACTAGTCTCCATTTCAGAAGATTTGTCACCGATGGAATGGCATGGATGGCCCTCTACTAATGCACACAGCAAAATTTATTGCACACCCACGCCTGGTTTTCCTTTTCTTCTTAATCGCTTACTCTTCTTGCTTCTAGAGAAAGAACCAAGATTCTGGATGGTAATGCCGTTTTGAGAATCAATAAGGAAACCTGATATCCAGGATAAGCAAAAGCAGATTAACCCCTTTCTGCGTCTTCCCTGCTGCTATTAATAAATATGTATAATGACACTTTGGCAGTTTCATAGCTATTCTTGTGCTCCGATGGCCAAAAAAGAAATAGTTCAAGCATTTATGTACGCTTCAATTGTATGCAACGAATTCAAGAAAAATCTCTATGTCATAAAAGGATATGTCAAGGTCTTGTCATTATAAAAAGTAGAGGATGCATGGGGCGCCTGGGTGGCTCAGTTGGTTAAGCGAATGCCTTCGGCTCAGGTCGTGATCCTGGAGTCCTGGGATCGAGTCCTGCATCGGGCTCCCTGCTCGGCAGGGAGTCTGCTTCTCCCTCTGACCCTCCCCCTCTCATGCTCTCTCTTTCTCTCATTCTTGCTCTCAAATAAATAAATAAAATCTTGAAAAAAAAATTATTAAAAAAATTAAAAAAAAGTAGAGGATGCAGAATGCAGTCACTAAACTATAACCTATATTTTAAATAAAATAAATTCACTAATTACAAACTGAGAACATTTTTTACTTACAAAAGAAGTCCACAATATTTTATACCACCATATAATTATTTGAGGGGTATTTTTTGCAAACAAAGTAAGTTAAATGATATCTTAAGAAACATTATTTGTGGGGCGCCTCGGTGGCTCAGTTGGTTAAGCGTCTGCCTTTGGCTCAGGTCATGATCCCAGGGTCCTGGGATTGAGCCCTGCATTGGGCTCCCTGCTCAGCGGGGAGCCTGATTCTACCTCTCCCACTCCCCCTGCTTATGTTCCCTCTTTCGCTGTCTCTCTCTGTCAAATAAATAAATAAAATCTTTAAAAAAAAATAAATAAAATAAATAAAAATAAAAAAATAAACATTATTTGTTTAATATGTTATACAACTTTTAAACTATTCAAGTGTTGAGCATTATGTTCACCATGGAGAAATCAGAAAATGAGACATGAGAAAGCTTGAATACAATTCAAGATAACAAGCAATTATCTATGGATACTGTTCAGGCTTATAGGAGCTACAAAGTTAGCATAAGCCAGGAAGGTCTCTGTTGTCTTGACAGTCATCATATTTAATATTTTCTAAGTGATCTCTTAAAGCTGTTCTCCACTAGAATATTTTTCCTGTCTTTGACACAGTCATTGTAGAAAAGAAAAAGATTAAGGCAGGATAAGAAAAAAAAAGGTATCTCTTTTTAAGTGATCTCTTAAAGCTGTTCTCCCTAGAATTTTGTTCCTGTCTTTGACAGAGTCATTGTAGAAAACAAAAAGATTAAGGCAGGATAAGAAAAAAAAAAAAAAAAGGTATCTCTTTTTCAAGAAAGACAATGAGCTAGAAATCTGACTTAGAAAAATGAGTGCAAAAGAAATCCAGAGATTCTGCCTGTAGCACATGCACCTGCTGGTTAAGCTGGGAATCCTTCATGGAGCTTCAACCCCAGGAAGGGAAGATGGATGTGAAGAGCAGGAGAAAACCTATTTGGCAAAAAAAAACAAAAACAAAAACAAAAACTCAGGCTTTCTCCTTGCTTCTATATCAACTTCACCAACATTCTATTTCCAGAAGTAACAGTGGCTATTTCAATTTTCTTAGAAAAAAAAAATTTTTTTTTTAAGATTTTATTTATTTGCGAGAGAGAGAATGAGACAGAGAGCATGAGAGGGAGGAGGGTCAGAGGGAGAAGCAGACTCCCTGCTGAGCAGGGAGCCCAATGTGGGACTCGATCCCGGGACTCCAGGATCATGACCTGAACCGAAGGCAGTCACTTAACCAACTGAGCCACCCAGGCGCCCCTTTTTTTTTTTTTTTTAATTTTCTTAGAAAATATTTTTTAATGAAAATTACACCACCATTCCACTAGAGAAAAAGGTTCCCTTGAGTCACAATAACTTCTCCCACCCTCAAGGAGACACTATCCCCTCTGGCAGCTGTAACCCAACACACAGCACTCTCTCCAATTCCTTTACCTATTTCTAGATTTCAACTTTGACCCATACTCCTTTGCTTTCTTACCATCTTTTTACTGCCCCTGTGGACATAATTTGAGACAATGATCCTTGAGTGCACTCAATTCACTTAAATGATGGGCAGTAACCAGTTGATCACCAAAGTCAATGCTGTATAACGGGCATCTCTGTACACACCCATCCTCAAGGATTAGGATTTTGATCCAAAGACAAGCTGGGAGTGCTCACATACAGTAGATGAGAAATAATTTGAGCTAATTAGACACTTGGCAGCTATTACTTTTGATTATTATCATAAAACATCAAAAAATTAGACCAAAGAAAATACTGTTAGAACAAATGATACTGGTGACTGGTCATGGTCTTTCATTGGTAATAAATATAATAAACCATATCTCTACCAAGATACCTATTTTTACTTTTTCATCCAAAAGAAATCTGCCTCATCCCACATCTATACATATTCTTGGTATATATAAAGAATTTAGCCATTCCTTTCCTAATGTTCTAAAACTCTTACTATGGCTATTTTCCTGAGATGTGAAAAGTAAAACAGGCTTTGTACTGGATGTGCCTCTACCATATTTTGCCCAAAGCAACTGACATTACTGACAAACCCACCCAAACACATAACCAAATTTGAGAGAAATACATAAAGGGTCTTTGGGTAGACCACCACTTCAGCTTAAGAATAAGACTTTATAAAAGAGTGATTGCTAGATACGTCAAAAACTAATTAGGTATGCATAAAATAAGTCTAAATAAAATACATTCCAGTTTTCCTGGCTATCCTATCATACATAATATAGAATATATGGTAGATAATATGGTGTGAAAGTCAGCTCGGGAGTTAAGTAACCTAGATTTTAACCGTGGCTCTATTGTTCCTTACTGTGTTATCTTCAGCCAATTATATAACCTCTCTATACCTCAGTTTCCTGTCAAGTTTCATAATAATTATATTTATAATCACAGGTCGTTTTGAGCACTGAATACATATAAATTCATGTGCCTGTCCCATCATGAGCAATAAATATCATTGGTTACTATTATTAGTATTACAATACTGATTAGAGCCTATTTCACTGGCAACCAATTAAGCTGAAAACTGGCAGCCTTCAGCTCAAGACCAAAAAAAAGCTAGCTACCAGTAAAAGAGTGAACTGCATGGTTTATACTTATTTGCTGCTACTCATCAATCCCAGGTCACCTTGTCTGAAGAATCTAGATCCACAGTTTGTCACAGTCAAAATGAAAAGATTTTGTTCCCGAGATATTCTGATCGGTTGAAGCTTAATGTTACAATTCTTTTAAAAGTTCGTATCAAACACATAAAAGTTCTTCCTAAACTAAGGGGCAAATTTAGAATTTAATTTTTAAATGAACTGGAAATAAATGTAAGTGAAAGATGAGATTAACATTTCTTACTAAGGGGACAAAAATATCTTTTTTTTTCCTGCTTAAAGCTTTTATCTTTGTAACCTTTGAAGAAAAGTTTTTAATAGAACTTTAAAATCAGGATTATGTATCTATCTGACTGGAATAAAACTACCTTCAACAGGGCATAGAATGTCCTTGCAGATAATACAAATCACTATCTTAAGGAAAGATCACGGACATAGATTTCATTTTACTCTAAATATAAAATTGCAGTTGACAGCAAAATTCACACTGTGAGAATCCACATAGGATAAACAATTTATTTGTTGAAGAGACAACATATAAATTGCAGGGGAGAGGGGGGCGCCTGGGTGGCTCAGTCAGTTAAGCGTCTGCCTTCAGCTCAGGTCATGGTCCCAGGGTCCTGGGATCGAGCCCCGCATTGGGCTCCCTGCTCCGTGGGAAGCCTGCTTCTCCCTCTCCCACTCCCCCTGCTTGTGTTCCCTCTCTCGCTGTGTCTCTCTGTCAAATAAATAAATAAAATCTTTAAAACAAAACAAAACTAGGCAGTCTGGGTGGCGCCTGGGTGGCTCAGTCGTTAAGCGTCTGCCTTCAGCTCAGGTCACGATCCCAGGGTCCTGGGATCGAGCCCCGCATCGGGCTCCCTGCTCGGCGGGAAGCCTGCTTCCCCTCTCCCACTCCCCCTGCTTGTGTTCCCTCTCTCGCTGTGTCTCTCTCTGTCAGATAAATAAATAAAATCTTTAAAAAAATAAAAGTAAAATAAAAAAAACTTGAGGGGTGCCCCCATGGCTCAGTCTGTTAAGCGTCCACTTCTTGGTTTCAGCTCAGGTCATGATCCCAGGGTCCTGGGATCGAGCCCCACATCGGGCTCCCTGCTCGGCGGGAAGCCTGCTTCTCCCTCTCCCTCTGCCCTGCCCCCAACTCATGCTCTCTCTCAAATAAATAAATAAAATATAAAATTTAAATTTAAAAAATTCTAAAAAATATAATAAATTGCAAAGGAGAATAAAAAAAGAAAGATATGAGGAAACCAACAGATTTTAGAAGAGACTTTTTAAAACTCATTTAAAAAAACTTCAAATAGGCAAATTAAACTGCAGGGATACAAGCTCAGGTGATAAGACAATAAACAAAAGTGAGGAAATTATAACCATAAATGTCACAATACTACTTACAAGTCTCTAAGAGGAGGAGGGAGGGGCTCGGGTTTGGGAAGTAGCACACAGAAGGCTGGTCAAGCTCTATTTCTTGAATTGGATAGTGGTTATAGGGTATTCACCTTAGCAGTTTCTGTGCCAGTGTTGTATTTTACAACTTAAAAAGGTTTTAGGGGCTCCTGGGTGGCTCAGTCAGTTAAGCGTCTGCCTTCGGCTCAGGTCATGATCCCAGGGTCCTGGGATCCAGCCCTGCATCGGGAATCCCTGCTCAGCGGGGAGTCTGCTTCTCCCTCTGCCCCCACACCCCCACCCCCATCAGGCTCCTTTGCATGCTCTCCCTCTCAAATAAATAAAATCTTTAAAATTTTTTTAAATTTAAAAATAATAAATAAAAAGTTTTGAAAAAATCACAATCTAAAAGTAGCTATTTCATATTTTTTATGCAAATATATTCCTTTTCCCACATTCATACTCACACCCTTAAATAAATGCATTGCACCTGAGTTTCACAAATAAAGGTTCTATGACACCTGAGCAGAGTCATTTACTAGATTGGTATCTAGCCATTGTTTAAATCTGGCCTCATGATTTTTTTTTAAGATTTTATTTATTTATTTGAGAGAGAAACAGAGAGAGAGACCACAAGCTGGGTGAGGGGCAGAGGAAATCTCAAGAAGACTCCTTGCCCCAACAAGGAGCACCATGCAGGGCTCAATCCCATAACCCCAAGATCACGACCTGAGCTGAAATCATGAGTCAGATGCTTCATGGACTGTGCCACCCAGGCACCCCGATCTGGCATAATGATTTTGATTTTGATTTTATATCATCAAAAGGATTAGAGTTTTGTCTTGATTTCATATACCCTTCATTTATTTCACTTCCAAAAGAAAAGGACAAGGGCACCTAGGTGGTGCAGTCCATTCAGTGTGGGATTCTTGGTTTCGGCTCAGGGTCATGATCTCAGGGTCGTGAGATGGAGCCCTGGGTGGGGCTCCATGCTCAGTGCACTCAGCATGGAGTCTGCTTGAGATTCTCCTCCCCTTTCTCTCTGCCCCTCCCACATGTGCTCATGCTCTCTCTCTCTCTCGCCCTCACTCCCTCTAAAATAAATAAATCTTAAAAAAAAAAAAAAAACAGCACTCTTAGGAAAGGCATTATGGGCTTAATTTTATTCCTCTGAAATTCTTATGTTGAAGTCCTAACCCCCCAGTATCTCCAATTGTAACTGTACTTGAAGACATAGTCTTTAAAGAAGTAATTAAGTTAAAATGAGGTTGTTAGAGTAGGCCCTAGTCCAACACGAAGAATCGTCTGTTTAAGGAGAAGAAATTAGAGGGCTCCTGGGTGGCTCAGTCAGTTGGGCTTCTGCCTTCGGTCATGATCCCAGGGTCCTGGGATTGAGTCCCGCATCGGGCTCCCTGCTCAGAGGGGAGCCTGCTTCTCCCTCTCCCTCTACCCCTCTCCTCCTCATGTGCTCTCTCTCTCTCTCTCTCAAATAAATAAAAAAGAAGAAGAAGAAATCAGAGCACAAACACACACACAGGGAAAACCTTGTAAAGGCGTAAGGAGAAGAAGGCACCATCTACAAGCCTCCGAGGAGACCAACCCAGCTAACACCTCAGTCTTGGCCTTCTGGCCTCCAAAATTTAAAGAAAATACATCTCTGTTGTTTAAGCCACTCTGTGGTACTTTGTGATGGCGGCCTTAGCAAAATAATACAGAAGGTAAAAAAAATTTTTTTGGAAAAAGTAGTAGAAAGAAGAGGAAAAATATGAAATGCTACAATTTTAGCTCCTAATGTATAGTGAAAAGAAAAGCGTAAGAAAATTCTGAGCCATTGGTAAAGAAAAGAGAACTAACAGATTCCATGTAAGAAGAAACACCCCAAAGAGTGAAGCACAAAGGGCAAGACCCAAGAGAACCAGCAGGAAAATAACTGGCTACTAACTGAATTGATGGGGCAGGATTCAGAGCTTTCAATGTGGTTCCTGGAAAAAACCCAGAGGAGAATTTTGAGTTAGATTTTTAAAAGGACTAGAAACAAATGGAGGTGATGGGTGAGATCCAAGTGGTTTTCTTGAAGGGAGAAACGTCTTCTGGCCCAAAGGTTTGAATGAAGTTTGGATTTATTATTTCCCTGGTTTAATAGGCTTGGGGGGTTAGGCAAACCATCAACCAAGAAAACGCAATTCTCAGACTAGAAAATCAGCAAAGATTGTGCAGAACATCAGAGCTCTAGGTGTTATATATACCCGTGTTGTCTAATGATCTCAGAGTGGAGTAAGCTTTGTTGATGAAGTTCAAGTCTCCTGAAAAGGGATATTACTGTAGCAACAGAAGATAGCTTTTTGCTAGGTCTGCCCTCCACGCTCATATATGCATTTCATTATTCCACTGACAGGTATAAATGGAAATTGATAGTGAAATGACTGTTTCTTTTCCTCTTTAATTTAACAAAAGAATAAGATATACTCTGCATTCAGAAAAGCATCCTACAAAATAAGGAAGTGAAGCCAAATAAACAGGGAAGAGAACAGAAGCCCAGAGATTCTAAATCTCAGTAATTTTTTCCAACTCCAAACAAAATGGCACCATTCTCCTATGTCTTACTGGAAAAATCCTGACATCCTTTCTGCAGTAAGACAGTGCAATACATCAACCAACCATTCAGCCAGCCTGTCTTAATAAATTTAGAGTAACTTTCTGGAAGTACTGGTATAATTATTATAATTAGTTCACTTATAAAAATTAACAGATTTTGTTTTAAGTCTTTATCAGAGATGTCTATACATGATATAGAAATCTTGCTTACTATACTGCAGGTTATGTATGATAGCAACTATAAAAAAATTAAAATATAAATATGTGCATAGGACAAAACAATACTAAAAGGACATACAACAAAATGAAAACAAAGTTTACCTCAGTGATGAATTTAAGGGTGATTTTTCATTTTTTCCCCCACTTTTCTCTCCTTTAAGTTTACTAAAATGAGTCTGTGTCAAATTTATATTCAGAAAAAGAAAGCAAATATATATAAATGGCATTATAATTCTTATAAAGCAAAACAGGTAGTCCGACACTGTTTAGAAGAAAATAAACACATGGTTAAAACATCATACTATACAATGGGCCTAAAGAAAACCCTGGGTGGGATTTGGTCTCACATGTCCTCAGATGACATCATCAGTAGACTGGACAAAAATATACATTCCTATGCCTATAACTGGAAGAGGCTTTTATTTACAAGTCACCTTTTCAGAGCTTACCTGACAAGAACCAGTGTCCTGCGATTTCTCTCACCACGGATTTAAAAACCCCTGGGGCTTTCTCTGTAGACCTAATAAATTTACCACTTTACCAGGGAAATGTCTTTTTCAACTGAATGCAAAGTCATGTATCCACCCTGGACCCAAGATTTTACCTCTTGTTTCTCAGGGCTAGCCTTAAAGGCAAATTCAGAAATTATTTTCTGTGACATATTCTAAAAAAGAACCCCTTGTGCTACATTAATCCCATAAAACCTAACTCCAACAATTCCTACAGTACACTAAGAATTCTTTCTCTGATAACTAAAGGTTTTTATTCACAAGTGGGTGATACACTTTCTTGAAGAATTCTGAAATATAAAAACCCCAAGACTGTTCATTAGAAGTATCAATGAAAATTAAAATCAGAATCAGTATTTTAAAAATTCTCAAAAAATTTCCCCCAGAGGAAAACAATTTTACTTAACTTTTTTTTTATTATGTTATGTTAATCACCATACATTACATCATTAGTTTTTGATGTAGTGTTCCATGATTCATTGTTTGCGTATAACACCCAGTGCTCCATGCAGTACGTGCCCTCTTTAATACCCATCACCAGGCTAACCCATCGTCCCACCCCCCTCCCCTCTAGAACCCTCAGTTTGTTTCTCAGAGTCCATAGTCTCTCATGGTTTGTCTCCCCCTCCGATTTCCCCCCCTTCATTCTTTCCTTCCTGCTATCTTCTTCTTTTTTTTTTTTTTAACATATAATGTATTATTTGTTTCAGAGGTACAGGTCTGTGATTCAGTTTGACTTACTTTAACTTCCACCGTCTTCCCTCCATGTTCAACGTGTCTCTCTACGTATTCAGAGGACAGCAAATCGCTGTAACAAACAGAAATGATGATTAAAGAGGACCTTGAAAATGTAAATCATCTGAAAATTGCCAAGTGTACACATACCAGCTTTATGATTCTTTAGCTCATTCTTTAAAACAAACAAAAAAAACTGTATAGGTCTCTTTCTCTCTCTCGTTCTCTCTCATTCTCTCTCTTTCTCTCTCTCTCTCTCTCACACACACACACACCCTAGTACTTCTAAAAAAGTATGAGGTTAAATCACCTGTCACCCCATTGCTTGCCAGAGCTTATTCCTCTGACCTAGTTCAGTTCTAGGAAACTATCATAAGCTCATCATTATTTGCAAGACATCTCATTCTTCCCATTTTTACTTTAGCTTTTATAAAATAGTTCTGATTTGCTATCACACTCTACCATTTTTAATGTGTGATATTTTAATCTAACAAAATATTCCTCTCTATCATGAAAACATTAAAAGGGAGCAAAGAAATATAGAAGAAATGAGAAGGAATACACCTTGAGCATTTTTAAATAATCTTTTTTGAAATCGCTCCTAAACAACCTTCTTGTACCACTTAAAAATGTTTACATTTTCTTAAATATGCTTCCCTTTAATTCCACAGATGTGAAAAAATTCCCCTTTTAATGGTGGTGCCTCGAGACACAACTTCCATAAGTCTTAAAGTCTTAAGATTTTTAAAGCACTAAAATATAAATAAAATTAACATCATTAAATAAAAATAATTATGAAGCTATGCATTTCTTTTTTTAAGATTTTATTTATTTATTTGAGAGAGAGACAGTGCAAGCAGGAGTAAGGGCAGAGGGAGAGGGAGAAGCAGGCTCCCCACTGAGCAGAGAGCCCGACATGGGGCTCAATCCCAGGGCCCTGGGATCATAACTTGAGCGAAGCAGACTCTTAACCAACTGAGCCCCAAAACTTAAATTTCTAAATTTACTCCATCAATAGATGTTCAGCCAACTAAAAAATCTTTTTCACAGTGCTCTGAAGTTCACCATGCCAAAAGTATCCCAATCATTTAAAAAATGTGAATTTCTGGGGCACCTGGGTGGCCCCAGTGGGTTAAGCATCCAACTCTTCTCCCTTGATTTCAGCTCCAGTCAGGACCCAAGGTCGTGAGATTGAACCCTGTATCGGGCTCCATGCTGGGTGTGGAGCCTACTTAAGATTATTTCTTTCTTCTCCCTCTGTCCCTCCCCACACCCTCACCCTGCTCTTGCATGCGCACACGCTCCCTCTTTCTCTCTTAATCTGAGTGCATAGGCCTGCCATGATAAGCACCATGCCTACACTTGCTTGAAAGGTAAACAGAATGATCAAGCATGTGTTATATTAACGCAGGCACCATAATCAATTTCCTATAGTATCTGATCCCTACATTACCATTTAGGAAATCTATAATTATAGTCTAACTCCTTGTTTCATTTATCTTTGGAATACATTTTCCTAATGATGTTATGGGGGAGCAAGATGCAGAAGACACAACTAAAAGTGGCTTAAATAATTTATAATTTGTTTATAGGACATTTTTATCTTATTTCTTGTTAGAAATTCCAGGACAGGTGTAATGTGAATTTGCTTCTGCTAATCTCCAGGTCTGTTAGATGAATAAATTTGAAGTTTACAAAATAAATGCAAACACTTCTAAGATGTTTTAAATATAGATAAGTAACTAGTAAACAAATTTTGTTAGATGTGGCAGAATGCATAGGATGGGTAAGTATAGCTAAGAAGATCATGTATGCATTACACATTGATAGAAAGGGATGGGTGACCAAATGATATCTAATATTCATGAAGCACCTGGGTAATAAATGTTCATGATATAATAAATACACAAAAGATACTAAATATCCAGGATACACTATACATAAATACTATTTATGACTTTTTAATTCAATCACCTATTGGTGACACAGAGGGCTTCTCAACCTCCACAGTACTGACACTTTGGGCCAGATAATTCCTTGTCTTGGGGAGTATCTTACACACTGCAGTATGTTTAGCAGCATCCCTGGCCTCTACCCACTAGGTGCCAATTGCATCACACAGACACACCAGTCATGACTATCAACAATGTCTCCACACATTGCCAATGTAGACTCGGGGGTAAAACTGCTTTGGTTAATAAACTCTGCTGACACCCATTTCTGCCCCATGTTTTCTTTGCCCAAAAAACACAAATAGAATTCATGACTGTTCATCAAGCTAACCGGCAATTTACAGCTCCCGACCAAGCCTACTTATCTCTGTGTCACTCAGAACCAGAAAATGGGTGTCATTAGCTTGAACTACCTTCCACCTATGGAGCTTGCCCAAACCTCCACTCTGGTCCTTGAAAGCACATCATCAGCAGGGAGGGCAGATGCAGCAGAGAGAGAAGCAGAACTTAGGAACACCGCGTACCCCAGGTTTAGCTGGAGGGATCCTTCCATCCAACTTGCACCCTATACTAAGGTTGCTAACCCACCCATTTCTTCCTTCTTGCTTCTCACCATGTCCTTCAAATTAATTTAGCAAACCATGTGACTTGAAGATTTTAATTTGGTCTGTGGGGGCTAGCTTGCCTGGTAGTATACTTGTGAGCTACTACCTATTACATCAAAGTAATTGCCCACCAGACATCAGGGCAGTTCCAGAGTTAGTTGGTGTGCTGGCTCAGCACATGGATGTGACCAGACATAAGTTCACCTTCTGCTCCGCCACCAACACGGTGAGTGACCTGTCCTCCTCACTGCAATTCTAAGCATCTCACGTAGGTAAAAAATATCCCAAGGTAGAAAAGCCCTGAATTTCTTTAAAGGAATCCGTAAACTCTTCACAAAAAGCCCCTAGCATCCATCTTCTCAAGTATGTCTTGCCAGAATTACCTTACTGGGCCTCACCAAAACAACTCCTTTGACCATGCCTTTGAACAATCAAGTTTTCCTTCTCCAGAGCCTTGCATGAACATCATGAGTACTCAGAGCTGAACAATGTTCAGGGGAAGGAGGGTGGTAGAGAGAAGAGCTATTGTGCAGCCAGCCAACAGTTGTCTTTCTTTTCTTGTCTTTCTTTCCTTCTTTCTTTTTCTTGTCTGTCTTTCTTTCTTTCTTGTCTTGTCTTTCTTTCTTTCTCTTTCTTTCTTCTTTCTTTCTCTTTCTTTTCTTTCTTCTTTCTTTCTCTTTCCTTCTTTCTTTCTTTTCTTTCTTTCTTGTCTTTCTTTCTTTCTTGCCTTTCTTCTTTCTTGCCTTTCTTTCTTGCTTGCCTTTCTTTCTTTCTTGCCCTTTTTTTCTTTTCTTCTCATTGGGATATGAGATAGTATTTCACAAATTTCAAAGGACTTCTAACAAAAGTGAAGCTGCATGACAGAAATCTGCCTCGAGCAAAACACGTCACAGTTCCAGCATCCACATCTTGCCCAGTTACCCACAGCCATACCCTACACAGGAGAGGTACCAGCCAAATGTTAGCGAAGGATTGGCTCCCAACCTTGTATGGGTCTCAACTTGCCAGAAGTGGGGGAGGAAATGTGCCATACACAGGTAGTGTTTATTAGCAGAACCAACTATTATTCCCTCTCTTGGGAATCTGAACAAGTAAATTCACAAAAAATTCATTCAAGGAAAGAGAGGCAGAGAGTCAAAAATGAGCAGACACTTGAAAGAAATGGAGGTGTGCCAGTGGGGAATACCAGAGCAAAAGCCCCCAAATCTCTGCTGCTCAGGTCCTGGGATCCAGAACAGCCCATCCCTGATGCTGAGTATCTGTGGGATCCTTTCTCCATCAGTCACATGAGTAAATCCCATCATTGGAGCTAGTTTGAGCGAGATTAAAAGCAAATAGGTATAATATCATTTAGAGAAGTCATAGTGGTAGTAGAAATAGTAACAATAATTTTTAAAAAACAACTTTTGAGTCTTCCAGGTTTGAAAAGTTCAAGGGAATATTTTCCTTTGAATTATAAAATCTAGGAATTAAGAGAGTATGAGTCACCACACGAATATAATTACAGCAAAGAAAACCCTCTGCTCAGGAATTACGCAGCTATTTTAATCAAGCTTCTACACCTACAAGTAGTGTTGGAAAGGGCTCCATGTAATTTAAACTAAAAACAGCCCAGCCAATTGGGTTTTGTTTGTTTGCAGTATTGTGGAAGTCGGCTAAGTATTGTTATTTTAATTATTAGGCTGAAAAACCTTCTATTTAAAATGTCACTCTTCCTCTACTGAAGATAAAATCTTTACTACCATCTACTTAGAACCTAAGCAGATTTTCTTGAGGCCTCCTAAGGCAGAGATAATCAAAATCACCTTAAGTTCTTTTCCTTAGATTGTCATTGTTTATTGTTAAGTAGGGATCTACTTAAATAATTTCAAGTGTAGGAAAATGGAGGATGATCTCCTTAACATTGAGAATTTTTTTTTTTTTAAGATTTTATTTATTTATTCATGAGAGAGAGAGAGAGAGGCAGAGGGAGGAGCAGGCTCCCAAGGAGCAGGGAGCCCGATGCGGGACTCGATCCCAGGATTCTGGGATCATGACCCGAGCCGAAGGCAGACGCTTAACCATCTGAGCCACCCAGGCGCCCATCATTGAGAATTTTTATTTTACTGTAAATTGATAAGGTAGAATTTACTCCATGTTAACTAACAGCTTACTCAAAACTGATGTGTGAATCCTAACTTGTGAATTTTCAAAGAGGAAAGTGAAAATCATTTTCAATCAAATTCTAAAGGCCACTTGTTTTATGAAGAAAGTAAGGAGATGTTTTTAAAATTAGAAATGTATTCTGAGGCCTTTTTTTCATTCACATGCCATAATAAGCCTGGTGTAAGCAAAACAAACACAATGTAAACATTCTCAGTCGTAATAATGATTACTCTTTGTCTAGCGGACAACTGTCATGAATCAGAGGCAGCTGGTTTAGTACAAAGATGCTGGAGCTTAAAAACAAAACTAATTATTTTGATTTCCTATCCAAACTCTGCCATTTACTTGCTGTGTGACCTTGGTCAAGTTAT